CGTGGAGGGCCCCTTGAGTCGTGGAGGGCCCCTTGGGTCGTGGAGGGCCCCTTGGGTCGTGGAGGGCCCCTTGAGTCGTGGAGGGCCCCTTGGGTCGTGGAGAGGCCCTTGGGTCGTGGAGGGGCCCTTGGGTCGTGGAGGGCCCTTGGGTCGTGGAGAGGCCCTTGGGTCGTGGAGGGGCCCTTGGCTCGTGGAGAGGGTCCTTGGGTCGTGGAGGGCCCCTTGGGTCGTGGAGGGCCCCCTTGACTTTGTGGTGGGCCCCTCAGGGTGGCCCACTGCTGCTGCAGTGGTGTGGGCACAGGACACGCCGCTTTAGTGACGTATGGGCCCAGCGTGACAGTGTAACTACTGCGGCGCGCCTCAGTCCCCTTGCTTACTCTCCAGGATTCGAACCTGGTCTGGGTAAGCACAAGCTTTCCTCTCATGTGTCGGAATTCTCATTTGACATAATATATGGTTTGAGAAGTCCCGGTGGTCTGGTGGTATAGCATGCGGCTTGACAATGTCGGGGTCGTAGGTTCGTGTCCACCTCACAGCCCTAGGGAGTTTCTTCCTTGATATATGTCACGTTAGAGAGTTGTACTCCCCATTACGGGTTATTCATGCCCGTGCCACCTCTTAGATGGCTTAATCTTCATTAATCAATCTGTACTGACAAGTCAGGTTCCAGACAAGGGAGTTGAATGCCTCTTTAAAGTTTCAAAGACAGTTTGAAAGTTTCCGATCCTTTTCCTTCTCGAGCCCCTCACCTATGTGATATTCCTCCCGCACTCCTTACCTGGTGTTCGTTCGATACCCAGACAGAGCGGGCAGCATCCCGTTCTCTCGGCTAATTGGTCGCGTTTTGTACGTTATGGTAACCTTTACACAGGGAGCAGCGTACTGTGAAAACGAAGCGGCATGCATGTATCTATGTTTTCCATGCATCGGACTCGATATGTTAGGTGGGTTGGTTAGGTTCGTACGTTGTTTTGGGCTGGGTTAGGAGGTTGGATTTTTTTACGGAGTGGTAGATTAAGAGATCCGGCAGGGACGTAGCACAATAGGATAGTATTGCAGGATATAGGATATCCTGCAATACTATCGATATAGGATAGCAATAGGATAGGATACCAGATTTAAGACCGCGAGGACATCATTGGTCCATGGAGCCACCGTAAGTTAACATCAAGATCAGGTATTTTCCCCAAGAAATGGTCCCTGGTGGCGTAGGGGTTACCTTACCTTGAGGTTACCTTGAGGTGCTTCCGAGGCTTAGTGTCCCCGCGGCCCGGTCGTCGACCAGGCCTCCTGGTTGCTGGACTGATCAACCAGGCTGTTAGACGCGGCTGCTCGCAGCCTGACGTATGAGTCACAGCCTGGTTGATCAGGTATCCTTTGGAGGTGCTTATCCAGTTCTCTCTTGAACACTGTGAGGGGTCGGCCAGTTATGCCCCTCATGTGTAGTGGAAGCGTGTTGACCAGTCTCGGGCCTCTGATGTAACAGGGGGTAACATATACTCTTGCCCCGCGTCTCGGGCCTCTCGGGCCTCTGATGTAACAGGGGGTAACATATACTCTTGCCCCGCGCCTTACTGCCGATCTGGGTTCGAGTCTTGGCTTGGGAGGATTAATTAGACTCCAATCCTTAATTGTTAGCTCCTGTTCATCCAATAGTAATCGCCCTCTTGACCAGGGAGGCTGATCAATACCCTCCCAGTAAGCCTTCTACATATTGCTGGAACAATGATGGATGTCTTAAAGATGCACTTAGATAAGTTCTTGCAAGAAGTGCTGGACCAACCAGGTTGTGGTGGATATGTGGGCCTGCGGGCCGCTCCAAGCAACAGCCTGTTGGACCAAGTTACCCCAAGTCAAGCCCTGGCCCCAGGCAAGCAACAGCCTGTTGGACCAAGTTACCCCAAGTCAAGCCCTGGCCCCAGGCAAGCAACAGCCTGTTGGACCAAGTTACCCCAAGTCAAGCCCTGGCCCCAGGCAAGCAACAGCCTGTTAGGCCAAGTTACCCCAAGTCAAGCCCTGGCCCCAGGCAAGCAACAGCCTGTTGGACCAAGTTACCCCAAGTCAAGCCCTGGCCCCAGGCCGGATTAAGGGAGTTCAAGATACCCCGAAACCCATTCCAGAGATAATACATGTATTTAACTGTCATAATGAGGGGGAGAGAAGCCACACGGTAGAGACCAAACCAATGAAGGTCCGAGATTCCAAGTCCAAGTTCGCATCCTGTTCTTAATATACGTAAATGACCTGTCACAGATGCAATATGACTGGGGAAATATGGACGGAATGCCTGCATACTGATACACAAAAATTAGAATATCCCACACAAAGAAAATAAGATAGTGTTGTAACCAGAGGAAAAGCAGAGCAATAAAAGTAAGAGCTAAAAGTAAGAGCAGAGCACTAAAAGAGCTCTGGAGAAAGAGGGGCAAGAGGAACTTAACTGGGGAACGTCCTTGAATAAAAGATGGAGAGTCCCTGTGGATGTTTACCTCGGATAAAACCTATCATTACAATCTCGTATAAACAGGGGGGAACTCTGGAGATATATGCAAAGCTGCCAAATATAAGCGCCTTGTGAGAAAATAGATAGTTTCATGTAAGTGAGACCAGTCCTAGAGTATGCAGCACCAGCTGGGAACTCGGGGGTCCACTAGTAGGGTAAAATGGGACACGCAGGGATGAGCAAGGGGGAAGAATGTGTACCAGCGGGAATAAAAGAAGGCGGAACGTAGTAGAGTGAGGGAAGATGAAGGACGTAAAAAATGAGGGGAGATTGAGAGAGCTGAAGGAGACGTCGTCGAGGGGGAAAAAATGAGGGTAGGATTAAAGAGGGAAGGTGTGCAAGGAGGGGAATTATAGAGGGGAGGTAAGAAGAGATGCGAAGGGAAAGTAGTTTGAGGGGAGAGAGAGACGTGAGGGGACAGCAGTCTTGGCTAGACCATAATCTCAGCCACAGACAACAGTGTAGTTGGTGACTCGACTCTTCCCATAACACCCTCACAGAAGGCCTCGTGCAAGAGAGACTGGTGACAATATGTTGATAAATAATGGCGGAAAAAAGTTTGAGAATTATACTTTTGTTTGACAAAAACTCTGTAAAACATCACACACAAACGCACGTACATGCTCAGAGGGGAACACACGCGTCCAGGGTCATCGCGGCAGAGCGGAGAGGGTTCGGAGTTCGCAGGCCACGGACCTGCGGAAAGTTTCTTTCACTTGATGCCTCTGTTCACCTAGCAGTAAATGGATACCTGGGAGTTAGACAGCGGCTACGGGCTGCTTCCTGGGGATGTATGTGTGTTAGAGAGAAATACGTGTAATAGACATAATAGAGGAAAAATAAATTGGTTAGAAAGGCGGGGTCCAAGAGCTGGTACTCGTTTGAGGTGTGTTTTCACCTGTCTAGTTCCCCTCGCTTCCACTGTCCATCCCACCCTTCCCTTCTCCACCCTTTCCCCTCACTTTGCCCTTTTCCTTCTCTCTTAACCACTACCCACGGGCAGAGAAACTGACTACCGCCTCTCTTATTGCTGTCATCTTATTCCCATTATTTATGGTTTGGGTTATCTGCATATTAAATTGTAATTTACTGTTATGATAATTGATTTTATTGAGGTTCATAATTTATTGAATAATGATTAACCATCTTCCGTTTCCTTTTTTTTCCCTTCCTCTCCCCTCCCTCCCATCTCCCTCATTTTCCCCACTCTTGCCCCATCTGCCTACCCTCCTCCCACCGTCTTCCCTATTTTGCTCCCTTTTCCCTTCCCTTTTGCCCCTTTTAGTCAGCAGTCTCGAGCAGACGTTTCCATCTGAGAGAGAGAAAAGGGTAGCCGGCTGCAAGTTTCTTCCCTCTCTTCACACCTATTCCTCCCTCTTTTTCCCTCTTCCCTCCTCTCGTGCCCCTCTCTTTGGTCCTCCCCATCTCCCTCTCTTCTCTTAGAAAACATATATTATTAAGAAGCAATGAAACAACTATACGAGTCTCAGAAAAAATATATTATCGTCACTAAGAACTCTACGACAAACACACCAAATATTTCACATTTGACTTCATAAAAATCACATGGGGTCTATACACCTTATTTCCTAAAACATTTAACTTAGGCTGACCCCGACCAGTCTATGTCCGTCCCATACCCCAGTTCGTTCCCCGTGCAAAGTTAAGAGCGTCTAGCCCCAAACATCTGGCCTCCAACCTTGGACAGACAGACATCAGTCTCTATTACAGATGTACTACCCCCGGGCTCCGCGAAGGATAGTACCCGGCATTGCCTGGATCTGTCCACCTGTCTGCAGTCTGTCCTCTCATATAACACATTCTATTTTGAGGAGAAAAATCCTCGACGCCAAAGGTTTAAATTGCTAAAAATTATAGCAGGTTGCAAAATTGACGTGATGTCATGTTTTCTATTTGTGGGTCCTCGGGGGCAATTTAGTACATAATATGAGTGACACTGTGGACACTCGAGGGGACTGACTGGCTGCTATCTGTCTGTCTCTGTCTATATATCTATCCATCTATTTTATCCTTCCTTCAAAACCTCTTCCCCTTCTCTCAGAAAATATATTAAGAACCACTGAAGTATAAGAAATGGTTATGCTCATGTTAATCACTTGCCGTAGTTCACACTTAAAACTAAAACTCCATGAAAATGGCCTCGGGCTGTTTATAATTGCTAATATATAAAGCATTTAATTTAGGCTTACATCGACTTGCCTATGTCCGTCATATGCCTTACCAGACCATTCCGTCCCTGCCAATTTGAGTGAGGCTAGCCATTAGCGTCTGAAGCTCCACGTTTGGACGAACAGTCTCACCTATAGGTATTAGATTATGAAACAAGACCTTGTTAAATGTTTACTTCAATAATTATTTAGATTAAGTGTTGCCACGATTTCCTGTTCATCCTTACATAACGTTATCCGTAAACCAGACATTAGTAGGATAGGCTGAATTCATATTAATTAGTTTATGCTGCTTCCTACCTGTTGTTGGCTCCGGGGATGAATTTACCTGCGGCCCGGTCTCTAACTAGGCCGCCTGGTGTACAATGTTAGCACAATATCTTTCTATACATGTTTATGTAATATTACTAGCCTTAATAAAGGTCAGATTAAGGGTTTACATGATAACTGTGGGATAGTAAGGCATTTATCTACTTATAAGTGATACGAGTTGTTAATATTAGACAATTTAAGGCTTCATAACCAAGAATGTGCAGCACCAACTTGGGATTCCTCAAGTTAGCGCACACCAATACTGGAAAATGACTTCTATATTAGTATTAAATTAGAAGGAGCAGGCTTTGATGTATAATCAAGCTTAGTATGTCATTGACGTGGTTAGATACCATTCATAGATAAATAACACCGAACTAGGATACAGATTACAGCTCGGCCCGATGACGTCCTCTCACCT